ATTTCCCAGTCAGTGCATATCAGAAAACATGGGGAAGCTCATTTAGAAATGCAGATTCCCAGGCCTGAACACAGACGTATAATTTTAGGTTTCCAGGAATGGAACCTGTATCTGGTGTTTATTAAAAGTTTCCCCTGGATTCCTGATGCCAACACCTTCTGAGAACTGGTGATGTGGAAAAGCTGAGAGTCTTGAGAACATGAAGTCAACATGCTATATTGATGAAGTCAGCCAAACATTCTTCTTCAATTACTAACATTTTAATCTAAAAACTTGTTTCATACAATTAAATAAAATGAATTTCCATAATACACATAGAGATGAAAGTATATATTTTTAAAATAAATATGTTCTGAAAAGCATATTTAATGGTCATAGTTGAGTAGACATGAAAATTGAAAACCTAAATGCTACTATTGGTATAAATTAGAGATAAAGTCCATGTGTTTCAATTAGTAAAAATTTACTGAAAATCTAATATGGGCAAAATGCTATACTAAGTATTTTCAGAAGCTACAAAATAAATCATTCTTCTTGCTAAAGAGCTCTAATCTAGCTGAGAGCCAAAGAATTCACACCAGAAGAAGTTTAATAACAAACACAAATAACCATGTATCCCAATTTTCCTCTGTGAGGACTACTATGAACTCAATGAATTACTTTTTCACCTCCTTGGAATACAAGTCTCTGTCTCTTTCATCTGGTTATCCTTGGTTCCTGACACCAGTTGCTGTCAAGACTACATGTTATGAATTGAATTCAATTGTAATATTTTTCAAAAATTGAAATAAATTTAAAAATTAAATTGTAGCATACATACTCTTAATTTAAGAGTCCTTTCGTTAGTATATTCACATAACATACAGTGTCTCTTGCAAGACACCATGCCTCCATATTGTAGGCAATATAAACAATATAAAAGTGAACAATATAAAAATGAGTTGTTAATTTTCTTCCCTCAATAAATTTATTTCACACTCTGGACTCCATATAATTAGAATATATGCACTAGATATAGCCATAATGACACAAAGCCTTACTATTACATGCAAATATTGGGGCTTTTTTTAAACCTCTTGTTTATGTTTCTTAAAACACCCCTAAAGTATGCGCCTAGAATTGATCCTATTAACCATAGGCACACAGAGCACATGAGGCAATCCTATGTTTGTATCTGTGCAAAAATAACTTTAGAACAGAATTTAAATGTGCCAGAATCCAAACTTCTTCCAGATGTATGCTTTCACTGATTTCTGGAAAATTGCTCCTCAGTACCCTCTTTACAGTAAGTACATAGACCACATTATAACATCCAGAGGCCACTTTGCACTTTTAAGGAATCCATAGTGCTGACTCATGCTGTCACTGTCATCAAAATAATGTTGTAAATATCCTCTCATCTTTCCATGCTGCCTGGCCTATTTTTCCCCTAAGAGGCTTCACATGGGACTTTTTATATAGTTTCCTAACTCCTGCCCTCATTAGTGACTTTCTTCTAAAACTGGAGGAACTCTCACTTAATCAGCTGCTTAAAAACATCATTTTCCCTCCATGGGCTTTTATCCCTGTTGAATTAGATGGTGTTTATTAGAAAAAGTGCTTCGTAATGCATATTTACTATGATTATATATATTTTTCCTTAAGTCAGCAGAAATAAGTTGGACTTCAATATTCTTCGGGTTTTATTGAGGCCTGATTTGGAGCACACTCATTGAGAACTGGCCAACAGGGTGGCCTACCCTTCTTCATGGCACAATCTTATCTTTGATTCTGAATGCTGCATAACAAATTACCAGAAATCTAGCAGCTTAAAACACCACGTACTTGTTATCTCACAGTTTCCTTGGGTCAGGAGCCTGCTTGTGACTTAGCTGGGTCCTCTGCTCAAGGCCTCACAAAGCTACAAGATATTGCCTGGGCTGTGTTCTCATGTGGAGGTTCAAATGGAGAGGGTCTGCTTCCAGACTCACTCAGGTTCTTGGCGGAAACCATTTACTAGAGTTTGTAGAACTGAAGGCTTACTGGCTTTTGGCTAAAGGCCACCTTTTTGCCCTGGTGGCCACCCACAGTTCCCTGCCATCCATGGGCAGTTCACAACATGACAGCTTACTTCTTCAAGACTGGGAGAGCAGTCTTTCTTTGCATCTAGCAAGACAAGTTTGTGTGTGTGTGCATGTGTGTGTACATTATGATAATGATGGGGTTGATATCATATCACACTTGCCATATTCTCTTTTAGAAGCAAGACACAGATCCCTCCCACACTAAGGGGAGGGGATTATCCAAATGAATGAACACCAGGAGATGGAAATTATTGGGGGGAGGGGGTTGCTCTAGGGTCTGTCCACTATAATCCCATTGAAATGAAATACTCAGGGAGTGACTCTACTTAGACATGAACAATTTTTATTACTCTTCTGGAGTCTAGGAAGTTTGTAATTCTCTAAACAAGTTAGGCTTAGTTCTCTTGTCTTGAAAAAACAAAAACAAAAACAATAGAAGCCATACAGAAATTCTTGGGCAAGGTCTAGGGAAGCTACAGAACCCAGGAGGGTAAAGAAGATTAAGTCAGAGAAATAATGGCCTCAAACATATTAAAAGGTCAAATTTTCAAAAATGTATATATCACTAGTTGTTGGTTTGTGTTTGCTTGTTTTGTGATTTATTTTGCTTTGATTTCCTACCAATATTTAGATCTCCATGTGTTTCGTCTGTCTCTCTGTTCAAGTTGGCTGGTTTTGTAAACTTCAATGGTTTATAGAACTACTGCCTATATTCTTCACTCAGTTCCCTTTGCACAACACCTAAATCCTCTGAAGAAGGAGGGTTTGTAGCCACCTGCTTTTGACTTCAGAACCTGATCGCTGCAATGGAGCTTGCATCTGTCTCAAACTTGTTAAGTAACTCTTTACCAAGACAAATGTGGATTATAGGTATACGACCTGGGACATTTCTGGTCTCAGAACAGGAAAAATCAGAGAACTCTTAAGCATTATTCTAAGTGCTTTATTTGCTAGCAGTGTTTGAGATGAATGAAAAATTAGACTTCAATTGTGTGGAAAATAGGGAAGTGATTTGCATACCAATGGCCAAATACAGACTTCAGAGACTTAGCAGTTTTGAAAATGATATTTATGAACATCTGCTTTTCCCCCATAAATTCTAATATGGAGTTCATCCTTTGAAATCTACAAAACTCCCAGGTGCTTCTTCAGTCTTTATCTTGGGAACATGCTTTAAAGAAATTTTTTAAGTCTCCTTTTTTTCATTAAACACATTTGAAATCACTTCTGTTGAAACAACATTGTGGATATACAAGCCTATTGGAATGCCTCAAATATGGTATTAAATGTTAGCAACTCAAAATGCTGTATTCAGCACGTAGAGCCTCCAAAATGTCCAATCCAAGAACATGAGCTATAATAGTCTTCATAAGAGATGTTTGAAAGTATTCATTTCTAGTCCCAGTTTATGCTTTTCATTATTCCACATGTATTTATTTAATATTGCTTATGTGACAGGCACTTTTAGGTGCTGAGGTTATAACAGCCTCTGCTCAGCAGAAGTGTGCCTGATCGCCTCTGCTTCATGCTGAGAAAGGTATCTCACCAAAGTGAGAGTGGGAAAACCCCCTGCCCTCATTGTGTTTATGTTCCAGTGAGTGTAAATGTTCTCTAAAAAAGAAGCCGCTTTAAAATTCTCTTACTGTTTGTACAGGCCTTTAGTAACCTTTGCACTGGGCCTGCAAACCAATGGCTTCGCTCTACTACCAACGTGGAACTGGACTTTGGGGCTACAACTGTGAGCAAGGCAGGCTATTTCTGCCCTCAAGGAGCTTAGAGTCTAGCATACTTCTCACTTCTGTCAAGACATGTAGAACCGGTAAACCAGAACTCTGGGGTAGAATGTGGGTAGCCATTCGAGCATTCTCTATTTTAGATCAACCATAAGCAGTCCATCCTTCAACTCTCAGACATGCTAGGAGCTGACACTATGGGTAGAAGATAAGGGTGTATGGACCAGAAGAAAGGAAATAATATCACAGCTCAACAGAGAACAAACACATAAGTTGTCTGGGCATGTGCAAGGCTAGCAAGGACATTAAATTCCTCTTAAGATAGCAACCTTTTAAGAGTGCAGTTCTGGCCACCCTGTAGCAGAGGATACAAGTCATTTACATAATAGGAAAACCTCAGGAGGATAGTAGAGCTATTTCATTTGGTTAGGCTAATAGTTCTCCATCCATTTACAGTGTAATGGAACCTTTCTCCTCTGCCTCGTAAATAGGAACACATTGGCACAATGCCACAAGGCTCATAAAACATGGGCAGTCTTCTTAGTGTGTCAGTTCTACTCAACCATTTGGAGGGGGAAAGTTAACTAATTTACTGATAAGTAATTTAAGACATTATTTTCCATTAAAGCCAATACAGCCATATAATAGAATAGAATGAAAAAATTTGCATACACTTTTAAGATAAAACAAACTGCTAAAACAATATTGGAGCCAAAGATTGAAAGATTAAGCTTTCTTGCACATTTTCCACCTTCCCCCTGCAAAATCAACCTAATAAAAATTATTTTTGGACGTGGATAATTGATTCTCAAATTCATGTAAAGGGTACCTAAAAGACAAATCCCCCAATAGCGTTCCTTTCAACCACATTGCCACTTAGATGTCCCTTCTTTGTAGAAACCCTGGAACTGCAGCTGGATGCAGGAAAATTATGGGCTACTTCAGGCTCTGACCCCTCACCACCTACCCTGGCACCCAGCCCTGGGGCCTGGGGCTCTGCATTTAAGAGCAGTCCCTTGGAAGAGTTTAAGGTGCTGCTCTTCCCATGGTGGAGCAAGAGAGGTCTTCTCCACACTCCCTCCTCATCCCTAGTACTGAAACTGAACACTGGCCCTCCTGCGTCCACAGCCTGCTTTCCGGCTTCAGAATTCTATGCAGCAGGCAGATCAGCTTATGTTCCCTGTGCTTTGTGTTCCTGAAACAGGATCTGGACCAAGTACAGCTCCATCTGGAAGAAGTGAGGTTCTTTGACGTGTTTGGCTTCAGTGAAGCAGCAGGAGCATGGCAATGCTTCATGTGCAACAACCCTGAAAAAGCAACCGGTGAGAGACACCCCCCCTTACTGCTAAGAACCATGTGCGCCCCTGGGATTGACAGGGATCTGTGAGCCCCACTGTTCTGGCTGGCCCCCTTCTTGCATAAACATCCTCCGTTGTAATAATGCACAGAGGTGTGCCCGATCGCCTCTGCTTCATACTGAGAAAGGTATCTCCCCAAAGTGGGAGTGAGAAAAAGAGATGTTGAAAGGGGGAGACACATAAACCAGAAATGAGCAAGAGAAACAATACCTTACATATATATAGCTTCCAGGAAAGCAGGTCTGGCAGTTTTGCCCTGGAACCATCTTCATTTCCACACAAATGACCCTGAGGATTGGAGAAAGGAAGAATTCTGTCCTGAGCGTCAAAGAAATGAGGCCGCACTTAATGAACAGATGAGCGCATGGACCGGCTCATCTCCTAATCGTCCCTTACACTTTTGCTTTGCAATTAAACTGTGTAAAAATAATTCCTTAAAGAGTAAGAAATTATTTGAGGAGTAACATCATGGCTGATTAGTCATCCTCCCTCTTTCTTTCTGCTGCTCAAGGAATTTTTGGGAATTTTAGGGAAGTCAACTTTTACTTCCCTAAAAATAATAGCTGTTAGTGAATATGAGCCAAGCTCAGTGCCAAATGTGTCAGATACCTCATTTAACCATCTCAAAAATCTTATGAGGTTAGTACTAATATTGTCTCAGGTTTTACTGATGGGGAAACTGAGGCACAGAACAATTTGATACCTTCCCAAAGTCACACAGGTAGTGAGATCAGAGTGGCAGGGTAGGGCTCAACCTGCCGCCAGAGCCCACACTCTTAACCATTTCACCCTTCTGCTTCCTGGTTATACTGGCCCCTCTCTGACCAGTAGAAATTGGTTGGTAATAAGCCTGTATTCAAAAGTTACGCTGCTCTTTGGATATGTCATCAGAGATTTGCCCTCAAAAGGACACAGAGCTGTCAACACCAACACTGCTCAGGAACTGCAGTGCAGACCAAGAGAACAGTGTTAAAACACTGTTGAGCTGAAGTCACTTTGTAGATGAGCCAACTTCTACTCTAGAGAACCATTGATTATACCACCTGTACCTGTGCCTTTAATTTTAGAATTATGTGCAGTTTAGAGATTACCCATTGTGACAAGTCTGTCCTCTTGCTAACTGCCAAGATGTTGAGGCTAAATAGGAAAAATAATGTGTTTATTTGGCCAGATGGAGATGCAAGGGGATCGAGGAGAGGCACCAATTAAAATGTATTACCCCACAGAAAAGGTATGGATGGAAGAAGCTGGCAGTTAAGGATGCAGCCTTTGCAATGTGCAGATCTTTGGTTGATTAGAGTCTGGATTGAGCTGATGCCAGAGTGAACGTTCCAATTTTTAAAAAGTTAATTCAAGGCCTGGCCAGGTGGTTCAGTTACACCATACACCAAAAGGTTATGGATTCAATTCCAAGTCAGGGTACATGCCTAAATTGCAGGTTTAATCTCTAGTCAGGCCACTGGACGGGAAGCAACCGAACAATGTTTCTCTCTCACATCAATATTTCTCTCTTTCTCTCTCCCTTCTTTTCTTTATAAAATTAATTTTTTTAAAAAAAATCCTCAGGTTATGATTTAAAAAAAACTTAGTTTGAGCAAATAAGGAATTGGGGAATTGAGGAATTGAATGTCTCCATTATAAACATTTCTAATTTCACCTATGAAAAGAGGTTAAAAGAAATTTTGAGAGCATGGCAAAGTAAGGTGCTTATCAGGTGGCAAAGAGAGGCCCTTCAGAATTTTCTTTCCAAGTAAGCTGAGTCCTTAGTTCAATAAACAGTTCATTGTATCTGGCCAAGGGAGGCCTCAGGAAAGGAACTGAAAGTTAAAAACACAAAGTGTTCCTTTAATATATGTTTTCTCAAATTCACTGCCATGCACTTGAAAAGACTATTTTGCACATTCACTCTTTCTTATTTGTGTTTCTCACAGTTAAATATAGACTGAGAACATATAGCAATAAAAATTCATACAAGGCCAAATATTTTATAGCAGAACATATTGAATCAAAATGTTTGGCCCTGAAAACTTCAGTGTGCTTGGATTTCTTTGCTCATTTCCTTTCACTACATGAAAGGGGGTTTGAGCCACAGAGAAATCCTATTTTAAACTAATATTTTCACCAAAAGCCCTTGAATCCCTGTAAAGTTTATATAGGTTGTTAATGTCATCTTCTTATTTTTATATTAGCATGTAAATTATATATTTAATCTAAGTGAAAGATCTAACGAAACACTGATGGCACATACGTTATACACGAAGATAATATTTGCATTCATGTCCTTCTTGAATTGTAAGTTCAAAGATGATCAGGACATAGGAATAAATATTTTGTGATTTGGTTATGCACGGCTAGCATAGTACTTGCATCTCATTTTTCATTTATGCAATGCACATTTGTTGAGGTTGAATGTCTCCTAGAAGGCATAGATGGAAAAATCAAGCATACTTCCTTGTATATTTTTAGCATGCAGTAAATACTTGTTGAGTAAGTGAATGAACGGATAAATAAATGAATATTTAGAAATGGCAAAGCCAAAGCCTTGAATATTAAAATATGATGTTTCAAGATTGTAATCATGCATTAACCATGTCAACTACATCACTATCCCATACACAGTACATTTTGAATCTGGCAAATGAAGGATGATGTTTATTTCCTCCTTGAGAGAAGTCATCACAAAAAGGAAAAAAAAATTCACTTCCCTTCCTGCCTAGTACTGGTCATACTGTGCCCGAGTCCTGTTACTGCTCTGGATTTTTTCAGTGCCCACGCAGGGTCCAGATGTCCTGTTGGCCTCAGGGAGGAGGGTCTAAAGAAGTAGGATTGGAGTCTAAGACAAAAGGCTGGAAAAACTGGATTTGAGTTCGCTCGTTTGTTTTTTAAGGTACCAACAAATGATGCAGTAATTCTTGTCAAGTACTCATTGTTTCAGTATTTAAAAAATATTTGCGGGGTAGTTAATACACAATATGATATACAGATGATATATTATAGAATTGTACAACTGAAACTTGTATAATTTTATTAACCAGTATCACCCCAATAAACTCAATAAAAAAGAAAAATTAATTAATTAATAATAATTAATAAATAAAATATTTTCAGCTATACCATAAATGAGGGACAAAGCATGAGGCAGTTAGAACTTAGACATCCCGAAATATAAATGCTTCTTAACAGTGTGTAGACTAAACTATTGGACTCCAGAAATTGACAGCAAATCAGCTGGCTTACATGGTTGCCTTATATACATTCCCCTCTTCAGGTAAAAGTCTCATCATTCCACCAAATCCCATTCATTTTCCCACCAACTCCACCATCAACACACAGAAATTCACAAGAGTTTAATATCTGGTTCAATAAAATATATTTTTATCCAATTAGATGCTGGTGATGTCTGAGGAAACTATATGCTAAATTAATATAAAGGTCCTAAAAAGATTATAATTGCTGACATTATCATGTTAACCATATGCTAAACTTCACATTCATTTTTCTTATTTTCTTATCATTATTGACTCCATTTTACAAATGAGGAAACTGAAACACAGAAAGGTATTGTAATTTCCCTAAAGTAACACAACTACTAGGCCGTAGAACTAGGATTTCAATCCAGATTAATTCTCCTGAACCTGAAACTTCAATCTCTAGGCCACATCCAAGTTAAGGACATGGAATATTGGAAATTCCAAGAACAATTACTCCATTTCCTTGTCATGAAAAGACCAAGGAATTCACTCTTCCTGACAACTTATTCTTGTTAAAAAAGAGCAGGAGCTTTGCACAGTAAGATGTGGGTCATTGCTGCATGTGGGGAACAGTTACATTACAAGCTATGTCCAGACACTCCAATTGCTGATACAGTTTCTGATAATCATTTTATAAAAGTCCAGAGTAGATTAGAAAATTACTGAAATAACTCAAGAATCCCGGGACTTTTGCCTGCTAGTGTTTATTGCCAATCTCTTTACCCCACAGGAATGGGAGAATGGAGATTGAGCAAATAGTTTTAACAGAACAGAATTTATTTCTGGAAAACTAAGCAAATCGCCTTTATCAGTCACCCTCGAGTCTTGGAATTGCTGGTGTGTGTTAACAGTAAGAGTTAGTCAGCTAGCCATCCTGGAACACATCTGGCTATCTATTCAATCACATTTTTTAAAAGGACAAGGGAAAACTAGGTCATGACTTTCCCTGATGTTCCTGAAGACATGGGATGCCTTTGTCCTTACACCCTACAAAAAACAACTTAGAGACAGCTCAGTTTTGGCACTTGTGTCTTCCTCCACAAGTCTGAGTGTTCCCCAGTATGATTTCTCTCTGAGTCATTAGATATTAAGTATTGAATGTGATTGTCGTAGGAGGTCTCCGATGGTTATAAAATAAAAGAATTTTTCCAGACTACCTGCTACCATGATTCTTCTCTAGAACTTGGTGTCAAATATTTGTGCTATAAGAGCATGCTGTGCATTAATTATATCACATGGCAAGTAGAGATGGTTTCAAAATTATATCAGGATAAGAAAAGCCTTTGTAAGGAGATTTGTGGCTATCCTTTGCTGGACAGCTTTAGTGTGAGCAAAGTGACCTTCCGTTCCAGGCACCAATGTGAAAATGGGCTAAATGACCTCTGAGGACCAGACCGTAGGACACAGATAATCTTGTGAGTCCATTCATCTGGAACTTTTCCACTTAATTTCAGTGTCAATATTCACAAAAATGTAAAGGTGACAAAAGAAAACCCACCTTGGATGTATGCAATGGCCTTCCCTCCCACCCCATGTCAGAACATTGTCATATATGCTAAATGTTGTTCAAGTACCAAAAACAGGGCAGCACTTGCATAGGACATCTCATGTTTACACAGTGTTAGTGACTCCTGAATATGTATTGATTACATAGATCTTCAGCTTGTTGTTCAAAGATACTTTGAATTACTTTATGACAAAACAAATACACAC